CTATAGTTATATTCCTAGGGATATAACTATATTATGGATTTATCTATCTTACTGCGACATAGATTATTTGAACGATCGAAATGTCAAAATAACCAATCTATTACCATCCTTTGCTCATTAAAGTTATCTAGCGCAATACAATATTAAATATTCTTGGTCTGTATAAAGAATGTAATTAAGTATAATAGTTGTATTGGTAACGACAAATTTTTTATGTAAATGTCGCTACTTCATAAAAAGCTGCGAAATTTCTTTCGCTTATTCTTCTTGACAGCTAGATGTCCTGAACAGGTGATAGGAAAAATAATTACGGGGACGCGTTTGAAACGCGAAGAGAAGAGAATAATAAAGGCCAACTTGAATAGGTACAGTTTATTGTCATTTCATGTACATGTCTAATCATACACATAAGTTCGACAACTGTATCGCAGCAGTCGTGGCCGAGCGGTTAAGGCGTCTCAATAGAAAATAGATTCCCTCTGGGAGCGTAGGTTCGAATCCTACCAACTGCGAATTTTTGGAACTTACAAAAAAAACATTTTTTATGTCATTATTTTTGAACTTACAAAAAAAACATTTTTTATGTCATTATTTAAAATAATGCAATAATTATGTTTAAATAATTTTAATGATTTGAATGAATGTCCCTAATACCCTAAATTTTCACCCTTCTATCACCAACCACTATTTTTTATGGCGGTACGAAGTTCGCTGGGACAGCTAGTATTTCTATAATATCATCTACTACCTACTACTACTACAAGCCTCATTTTGTTCACCGACTTATAAAAAGGAGATTTACAGTTTGTCATTAGTAATAGCGACGGAATCCTGGAATCATCGACGAAACCTTTAGAATTTTATAGTCATATCTACACTCGGTAAGCGCTTTCTGGTGAATTGGAATGATGATGAAGACCACAGATGACCATCGTAACTAGTCAATAAAACCGAAAGCAGAAGCTGCAATACGAATGCTTTATTAAGCTTGCTAAGCTTAGATTAAATCAAAAAGCCTTTTGATTTATATTTGTTTTCCACAATGCATTGAAGTGGAGCTGATCAACGATATAAAAATACCCACTACGATATTAAATAGAACTAGGGTATTTAATAGGGTTGGAGCTGATAGTGAAGTACCAGGAGAACTCTTCAACATTAAACGATCTTGAATTAGGATATGTTAAGATAACCTATTTGGTTAAAGAGTAGCAGTTGGCATTAGGTTGTTTTAATTTTATTCTTTAGTTAAATCTAAACTTTGTAACAACTGTACTCAAAACATCAAAATAATTTGAAGTATTCATTGTTGTTTTCGCGTTTTTACTCTGTATATAAATCGTATCGCGTAGTATGAAATGTAGCAGGAGTAGCCTCTGATGTTGAACAACTAGTTGGACAACAAGTTTTTTGCCTTGCATGTGCGAGCTATGTGTATGATAATTTCGGCCGCGACAGATGTGGCGCCGTGGCTTAGTTGGTTAAAGCGCCTGTCTAGTAAACAGGAGATCACGAGTTCGAATCTCGTCGGGGCCTAAGTTGAAATACATTTTTTACTTATTTTTTATTTTTATTTTAAATTGTTTTTTACTTTTATTCATAAAAGTCTCACTCATGAGTCACTTCAGTCAATCTACCATCAGCCATTACGAATCATTAGAAATACTTTCTGACACATCCATCGGTCCACTAAGCGTTATAATAAGTTTCAACGGTCTGTTGCAAAAATATATGTTTATGGTTGTTGGATAAGCAATAATTTTAAAAACACATGAAGATGGATAATTGAAAATAATAATCAGCTTGAAAACTGCGGAGGTAATAATTATTTGCTCATTGTAACATTTATTTTTTAGTTATAGGGACCGGTACCACAGCGGTGACACTCTGTGTACGTGAGAGTTCCAGCGTCAGTGACCTTGAGCAGGAGCGTGTATGCGCTAGGGTTGAACTTGGAATTTAGACTTGTGCCAATGAATATTTATGCATAGTAAGTTATTAAATGTAAACTGATTCAAGGATACTGGGGTAAATAATGAAGGATAGGTTTGATTTTATAATCAATTTTTAATCTTTTAATGTAGGTACTATAACAAATTGCTAACTTAAATATATATTTTAACTTATATATTTTCTCCTTTTTCAATTCGTTTTATAATTCTTATTATTATCTAAATAATAATAAGATTGCGTAGCGTAGTCAGTCTGTGCGTGCAATGCAGTGCAACGCTATTATTTTACTATTTCGCTACTGCCATCCCTTCGGTCGAGGCAGTCGGCGACTGCCCTCTCCACGTCCCGCGCGCCGCGCAACGCCCCCGCACACCTCCAGACACCCACACATAGCCGCGGGCGATTTTACGAGCACACATGCTTAAGTGTCGCTTCTTTTCGCGTAGTGTATATATTCTGTGCCGGTACGGAAGTGTACCTATAACATTGTATTGCATTTCTTACTTAGCTAAATATGTAATTGTATTAGAATATTTCTAGATAAATATTTATTTGGATTAGGGAGAGGGGAACAACACATAAAAACAACATGTTTTGATTTCAATATAATCACTCGTATATTCACATTTTTTTAGTCTCAATAATAATATTTACACATTTACAAAAACTTTACATTTATAATAGCCGCCTCGTTAAATATATTCTACTGACTGTAGTTTATGACAATGTTGTAGCGAAAAAAATATAAAATATGAAATGAATTGAATAATTTTATCAACAAAAATATAGACCTTATTACAAGAAATACAGAACACAAAATTAAGAAATTAATGATGATACAACAAACTGAATTTATTTATTGCTTTGAGTTTCAAGTTAATCGTTTTCGCATGTTCTTTGCTTAAATGTTGTCTCGATATAGATAAGAATAAAATAAAGTAAGATCCCAGGCCCGCTAGACCTACTCAATATCCATATTTTGTCCATCAGTAAATAAGTAAGGTGTCTGGCGGGCCTGGGATCATGGACTATAATATTGTACTCTCTTTGGCAATGCAACCTAAAATAGATATACTACTTTTTTAGAAGCTCTTATTGTGGCATTTGTATAGTTTTGTAACAAACACTCAATTGTTTATAATCAAAGTTTAAAGCCACGATACAGAAGTGTACATAATTTATTACAATATCAAATTGGTTGCTCCAACAGATAAGATTATTTGTATTGTTCGCAGCTACCTACTTATCGACTTCTGAATGATTTATATCAGTATAATATTAATATATATAGACTCCTGAGTGACGACTTGCTTTTAATATATGATAAAGAACGAAACAATGTTAATCTTTTGATCGCACTGCATGCAACTGATAAAATTTATTATGAAATGACAATCTAAAATATTATTTTTATATAAATAAATCAACAGGAAAGGATTCGATCCATGGATCCATGCTTCCAAATAAACTACTGAAATTTTATTTACATATTTAGAAGAAACACGGTACGTTTGTCATACTTTTGCAAGTGACTATTTAACTTGCTCCAATGCTAAAATTGCATTATCGTGAAATTGTACAGCTTTTGAAAAGGGCCATCGGGTGGAATATAATGTGTACTACAAAAATACTTTAATAAAAATCAAATGAGATGGAGCTTGGAAAATAAAGACACGATTTAAAGATCTGCATGTTTTCTAATACATATGCAAAAAAAACTTACTCACATATTCTAGTTGATAGTGTAGTAAAAAAATCAAGAACTCTATCCAGTTTATTCAATTGATATTATTAATAAATAGGTAGTAAAAAAAATTGTTTCACTTTTAACAAAAAAACTCACTTTGAGCATGGAAATAAATTGTAAAGTCGGGCCCAGACATGTGCGTACATAAGTAAACATATTTCTACAAATATTTTTGGAAAGATTTATGGATCAGTTTCTGCAAAATAGCAGAAATAACGACAGTTTCGCTAATGCCGTGCCACTTTATTAGCCGACTGCTGGAGGGTAATGTTTTTTTATGACTTTTTCCCTTCCGGATTTTTTTATAAAATCTACATAGATTATCTACAGTTATTAGATGTAATAATACTAATGATTATCGTCCTTCAATGTACGTCTAAAAACCAACACTTTAATTTGCACAAATATTGTAAGTGGTCTCCTACACAGTTTTTGGGCAGCTTTGCAAACATCTTTACACTTTTCTGGGCCCGGCATACCAATATAAAAAAGTCATATTGTATCAAATTTAAAAAAAATGCATTCAAATTATCATAATCAAATCACTTGTGTATCTCAGTTAAGAAAATAATGTAAAAATTGACAATGTAATAATATCTGAATCCATACGCTAAATCCAATGCTATCATGTATTCTTAATGACAATAAATTTTGAAATATATCCATAAGTATTTCTACATTTGTTTTTCAATGAAATTTATTTATTATTTATAAAGTGATGCTCTTCCAGTCTTAATGAGTAATTTATAAACCATTTAAACACTTATAAACATCTATTATCTTTCATAAAATCTGAGGCACATTCAATATACGTATCATACAGTCAAATACTAACTTATATTTACAAATATCCGTTTCCTATTACCTAATATGGCAGTATCGAGGTTTTACAAACAGTTTTAGAAATCGAATATCATCACACGCTTTAAACTTTCATCCAGTAACACAAAAGTTTCGCTAACCGAAATATTGTTTAGGAAACATGGTAATATTAGGTACCCAAGTTTATTGTAACCTATCAAGAGTAAATAAAAAATATAAAATTGAACAACCATCGTTATCAAAGCAATATTCCCGCTGTAAGAAAAGTGCAATCTCCATGAAATGATCGCCAAAGCGTGTGACGACGTCCACGAAAAAATAATAATTTACAATCAATTAACATTTAATTATATGTAAAAAAACAGTCTCTTTGAATCACTTCACACTGACTTCGCAAAACAAAATCTCAAAATCACTTTAGTCTGCAGTCAATCTTGTGCATCACATAAGGCCTCTTTGTGAACAAGATTTTCACTCTTTCCACCTAATTTATTGTCGTCTTTGGGTTGTCTTTTAAAGAGTTCATGGGAATTGTTCAGACGAATCTGGTAAGCTGTGTGTGGAAGTCTCTTAGGAATATTTGAAGCTGTTGCAGCGTGGGTCGGTCATCGGGGGACATTGCCCAGCAGTACGCCATCACCGCAAATCTGTTGACAAAGCAAATAAGGATTACTCACAAGCCTTAGATACGCCTTTATCAACAACTCCTCCCTCATCTACATAAATAAAAATAAATCGCAGAAATATACATGAATATACATGACTCGCATATCTTCCGAAAGACTGCACTAAATTGAACAATACTTTTTTCTGTGTCCCTTATTGTCAGTACAAGGTTTGTTTACAAAAAAATAAAATAAATATTTTTTATATTATACATGTAAAGACAGAAGAATATGAAAGATCTCCAATATATTGACAAAACATTAATAGCGTGCATAAATAGTTAAACAAGTATTTCAGTAATTTCGAAAATATTGTAGAAAAGAAAGATGACGGTACGACATTCGCCTGGTTAGCTAATAAAAACTACATACTACCGGTCAAACTGTAAATATCTTGGACCAACTCACTGAGTAAATTGATTAAGTTAATTGATTTATGGGCGGATTAGATTTATTCAAGGTGGATTTGAAGGCCTATTTACTAAATAAAATACTCACAATTCATCGGGACAGTTAGCAGGCTGCTGCAACCGGTAACCGTCTCTCAGGTATGCTGCTACCTCGAACGGGTCCACTTCGGCATATGGCTGATGCGCCAAGGTCGTCAGCTCCCATAGTAGAACTCCTAGCGCCCAGACATCAGCCGACGGGCTGAACTGCCTCTTGGTCAAAGACTCTAAGGCTAGCCACTTGATCGGTCTGTTCTCGTTGTCCCCTAAACAGTGGTAGTCGGCGGCGAAGAGATCTCTCGAAAGGGCGTTGTCTGCGATCATGACCCTAAGATTTTCGTCGACTCTGTTGACAAAAATTAAGTGATTAAACAAATTCAATTTACATATTATGCATCATGCAGATTGATAAACTTCATGACCAGATCAAATAGCAAGAATTAAAGGTAATTAAAAGAATACATAGATGTAAACTTACATGCAGTTTCTTGCAGCTATATCTTTGTGCAGCACATGTTGGGAATGGAGATATAAAAGGCCATCTAGAGCGTGCAGAGCCATCCGCACAACATGCTGTGTGGTCAGAGGGGGCGGCGGTGCTGTTCCCGCTGCGCCTCCTACTGTCATCACCCCTCTACAGGCCAGTAGGAATTGTTTCAGGTTCCTCCAAGTGCTTCCCCAAGGATATAGTAAGAACGGTGCAGTTTGGTCTTCGATGCTGACTCCAAGGACCGACAACACACGATCGTGGTGCAGTCCGTATAGCATACAACCTTCTTGAAGAAGTAGTGATACCTAAAAAGACATACATTTTTAAAAATCTAATAATTGCCATAACATGAAGCACAAATAAGACATGGATATATGTTTATGTAGTACCTGAACTTGAGAAGCATGTTCGGCCACAGTTTTAACGAGCACTTCCTGCTCTCTTCCGTCCTCATCGGCATAAGTTCCTCTGTAAACGCGTCCAAAAGTTCCTTCCATCGCGACAGACCGCAACCTCACTCGACATCTCTGAATTGTCAATTCGGCTATCCTTTGCTGAAGGTCTCTCGCCCTTTCTTCGGCTGCTGCTGCAGGCAAAGATGTCGGTCGTCGATAGCTGGTATAACTGGCAGCGGACTTGCAAGAGGAATCTGGAAGAAACGCGTGAGCGTCTTGCTCGTCGCTGCGTGCTCTTCGGAGTTTCCTCGCTCGCGCTCTACAAGCCGCTGCTGCGACTGCTGCTATTAGGAGAACGCCACCAGCACAACCAGCTCCCGCGTAAAATATATCAGCTGATGTAGGCGCATGTGGTACAGTATCGACTCTCACGGCCGGTCGTGGTGCTTCCTTCAGGCATATTTTTCTTCTGCGGAAATGCAATGTTGTTGATGAGGATCCAGTAGATACGTTAAGAGATATAGTGATGTCGACTTCTGCAGCCATGGCGTGCGTACAGGGCAGTGTCACTTGCCAAGTCTGCGGTTCTGTTGGTACAAATCCTTCGCTCGAGATGTTGAACTCAGGCGTATGCATTGCCTCTTGATGGGATACCACTTCTACGTGTAGTGTGTACGGCAGCTGTAACAAAATATTGAATTGAATTTATGTTTCATTCTAGTGCTTTGCAAGCAATACTCGTGATTATGGAACGAATCTACCTAACGGTTATCACATCACGAAGTAACTGTATCAGGTCATGCGATTGACGTAGACCGACCCTAAATGGTCGAAGCGGTGGCCGAGTTTGTACATGTCAGAGGAGATCAAATGTCAACGTCGGGCGCTGAGTGCGCGCCCCTTTCGATCACGACAAGCGCTCCTTTTGCTGCCACAAGAACATTGCGATAGGATCCGCATGCCCATGACTTGCTTAGGTTTGATACTTTCTGTTCTTTATTTAAAAAACGTCGTGGAATACATATTTATATAGATTCGCGAGCTGCAAATAGTCAAGGTAGCAAGCACCCAAGGCCGGGAAATGTGTTAAACATTGTGCTTTCCATTGTCTTTTCCAAAGGATTAATGTTTAAAATTCAATCCCTATTCAAATATTATGCTAACAACGAGGTATAATTATCCATCTAATCACAGGGCGGGACATAGCAAACGTTTATACAAACATTATTCGCCGCGGGCTCTTTGGCCGGCGCATCAAGCGCGCATTAAGGAGGCGCTGCGTTTCTATTGTAGAGCGTAGGTGCGACAGCGAAGCCGCTAATTAAATATTATCACTCGGGAGTCGGTCGGTGAGTACAGACAATAGTGCGATCGCTCATCGGCGCTAGTTAACCGGTTACCAAATATTTGCTCTAGTCAAAGGCGCCGCCGGCAAATAAGGGAGTCGACGAGTCGCCAAGGGGCGATCAGATAGCGCCGCCCGCTCAAAGCTCGCCGAGATGTTGATAAGGACCGCGCGTGATCGCGACTGCAGCGTATTCGCTTTTAAACAACGACGCCAGCAATTTCCAATTTATGAATATAAAGTTTCCGCACTTTACATACGCGCATACGTCCTGAATACATTTAAAATGACGAGACAAACGAAACATCTCGAAAGGTTACCTTATGACTTGCAAATACCGTCCTAAATAAGCTGACGCTTTATTGACAAGACCACTGAATTTGTTCGCGTAGGTACTTGATATTTTCGTATGCAAAAGTAGAATATATTATTTTACTTGGAATCAATATTTAAAACAACCACCTGCGGCCCTGGATGCGTCTCACTCGAGGAACGGTTGGGAAAAAGTAAATGAATGCACATAATGTTTGGTTAGTAATACGAGCGGGCAACAGAAAATAAGAGACGCCGCGGGTCGTGATTCACCGACCACTGTATTTGCATAGGAAGCGGTCTAATTTGAATTAGAAATGTACTAAATGTGGAAGAAAATAAAATACAAAGGGCTAATCAATCAAAAGTTGCCGCGCAAGATTGAATACGGTAGCGTTATTTATATCCATTTTTCAAACATTATGCCAAGTATATATTTTTTTTTATTTATACATTTTGTACACACAAATATAAATAGAAAGAGATTACAAAATAAGATAATAGTACAAGGGCAAAGCTTATTTCAAACTGAAATTTCTTCCAGCAGGCCCATTGTAGGAAAGCACATTGCAAAGCCAGTCAGCGTGTACACCTAATAATGATTAAATATATACGATAAATATTTAAGAATAGGGGACATACACAATTATACATCAATTATACATAGGTACTTATACTTATAATAATAGATATATACATATAAATATATATATATATATTATGGACGAAAAGAGGAGAAAAGAAACAATGGAAAACGTAAGGACATGATTAAGGGCATGAAGATAAATAATGTTCCTTTAGACGCTTTTTAAACACCGAGACAGAACTAGAATCTGTAATTCCTGCTGGCAGCGAATTCCACAGGCGGACAGCATGTACTGTGAATAAATAGGATGCGAAGCCAGTGTTATGGGTGGGACATTTTAGGAGGAATTTGAGATGGGATCTACAATGAGCTGTAGGAGAGTGGACAAAGGAAAACCGCTCCCGAAGATAGGATGGATACGAGGGATTATAGAGGATGTTGAAAAGGAGGCAAAGGATTCTCAAATTCCTGCGCAGACGTATAGGAAGCCACTTGAGTTCTTTACGAAATTTGGAAACATGATCATACTTCCGTAGACCAAAGATAAAGCGTATAGCTAGGTTCTGCAGGCGCTCAAGTTTGTTCAATAAAGTTTCTGTGGCATCTAAGAAGCAAGCATCGGCATAATCGAGAAGTGGAAGAATGAGTGATTGAGCGAGTGAAATTCTGGAATGCAAAGGCAAGAAATATTGAAGACATTTGAGGGAATAGAGCGAGTAGTACATTTACCGCCCAGGAAGGGTTGGAGTCGATTGTGATACCAAGATTTTTAACAGTGTCGCTAAATGGAATGTCAATCCCATCTAATGACACTGATGGCAAATGAGTGTTATGTGCAGCGTTCTGCATGTACCTACTCACTATGATTATAGCTTGAGATTTATTAGGGTTCACCAGGAGACCGTAAGATTTTACCCAAGTACTAATGCGTGAAAGATCATCATTAATTGCCGCTATTGCTAAGTCCACTTCGACAGTAAAATGGCGATAGAGCTGCATGTCGTCTGCGTGGAGATGAAAGTGGGAGAAGATAACTTTAGGGACCGAATTGATGAAAATGGAAAATAAAAGTGGGGAGAGAACACCGCCCTGGGGTACACCCGCAGAAAGCTCACACCAGTTAGATATAAGATCGTCAAGGCGGATATACTGCGAGCGGCCCCGAAGATAAGAAATGTATATGTGTATACTAGAGAAGGATATAAAACAGGCAGCAGGCAAGAAGTTGACTATCTTATAAATCCATTTAAGCACTCCATATAAAGCAGAGTTTTATTTCAGATAAACTATTTTACAGACGCGTTGCGCGCGGCCTACCACTAATTAATGATAATAATAATACGAGTGTTTTAATACATAATTATACTCAGTTGCATACAAGAATTTATCTACACCCATGATATGGAGCCTCTTCTGTATTGACCCTTTGATATTTTCCAATGCAAGAAATATTGGTACACCTTTTCATACTGTTTGTATGTTTTAAAACGGCGTGATGAGTGTTTGGATTCTGAATCGTGTTTTTCTTAAACTTACCGGTCTTCTAGTGAGGCTCTGCCAAGTGAAATGTAACTCCTCGATGGTAGCCGGGACAGGCACAACAAAATTGAGCGCGTAGAAGTTAATCTGGCCATCTCGCACGTAAAATAACTCCGCCGTGAGACCTGTCGAAGAAAAATCTAGTTAGTTATGATAAAACTGCTGCCAATCTCATGGGGGATATGGTGTGTATCAAAATTGTAGCAAATTCTTCGAAGGGTTTATTATCTATACATATAATAAAATGGTAGGAAAGTCAAAACTGTACATTGAATATTTTTTTAAAAGAATAGTTGGGGTATGATCTACCATCGATACCGAAGCCAAAATTATAGTTTTTAGAATTTTTATCTGTTTGTCTGTATGTATGTCCGGGATAAACTCAAAAAGTACTGCATGGATTTACTTCAAATTCGGCACGAATATTATAAAGAAGTCGGGTCAACATACAGGCTACCTATTATCACGCTAGCACCTACGGGGAACGAGCGGTGAACCTTTCATCATCAGCCTATTAATGTCCTCACTGCTGTGGCACAGGCCTTCCCTATGGATGGAATTGGGAGATTGGGCCATGACCCACCACGCGGGCCCAATGCAGATTGGCGTGTGCTAGCAACTGCAGATGCAGCCGGGACCAACGGCTTAACGTGCCTTCCGAAGCACGGAGGAACTCGAGATAGAAGATTTTTGGTCACCCATCCAATGACCGACCACTGCGAAAGTTGCTTAAATTCAACGACCGCAGCCGAACGCGCTAACCACTTGTGCCATCAAGCTCCTCCGACATCGAGCTCCTCCTTTCTCGAGTGAACCATTATTTCTAACTAACTCCATGGATCCGAAGTCCCGGGCGGCCGCTAGTATAGGCATAAATTGTTAGGTATAAATCTATGAAAAAAAAAAAACTCGCTGAAATATTTATATTCTATGAAAATTAAAAAATGGGAACGTCCCCTAGTCATAGGTACAACCTTGAAGTTAGTTCTCCTCTACCTACGGAGGCTATTCATTAATCGATTGTAATCAAGTCCACCCACATGCCATCAAACGGATAAATGAATATAAATAAATCAATGAAGAGTTTTCCGTGAGAGACTGTCACGTCAATGTCAGATTTATTTATAGCGCGTAGAATAATTAAGACAAGTAAGTAATAATAATAAGTAATGAAGAACAAGTTGATTTCCCACGTGCTTAAGTTGATCATATACGAAACACTGGTTTTAATACAAAAAAGCATAAAGCAAAATATGAACATCTGATTTCACGTCAATTGTGTAATGAGATTCCCGACAGTTCTAAACAAATATGTATAGGACATCAGAGATCCTGTTTATACAACGATCCTATAGAGAAAACGAGCTGAAGCGAATCCCAAAAATCAGTGTACGGATCAATAACAGCCGAGCAAAAAGTTGAAAGCGCACGCGCACAATGTAGCGGCGAGATCAAACGAGCGCTCAAAGCCGCCGCAATCCGACTCCCGCGACACCTGCTCAGTTAGTATCATGGGAATTTTTCAAATAAAAATCGATCTAGGCAAGGCACTAAGAGGAAGTTTTTCTTAAACAGGAAAGAAGTTTGATTAACATCGAATTGGTACGTCAGCTATTGAAAAGGTATAAAACACGCCATCTTTTTTATTATTCCGTTTAACTTCGAATATATAGGTATATAGCCCTTATGAGTACGTGCTTTTCTTACACAGTAGGTAGGGTATGCTCAATTCTACAAACTGGATCGATTTTCAAAGAAATAGCATCCTACCTACAGTATAGAAAAAGACAACGTTTTCTAAGAAGACCAGTCCCTGTAGCATGAGCACCACAATTTACATTTTATCACGTTTTTTGTCGCGTCTAATTGTCGAACTCCATAGTAATTTGTCAATTGAGCGTGATAAAAACGAGCTATATCATATCGCGGTGTTCATGCTAGGAGGTAGACATTTAAAATGAAGTCTGTACTGGTACTTATTTATATGCTCGCGGTGTTCATGCTAGGAGGCAGACATTTAAAATGAAGTCTGTACTGGTACTTATTTATATGCTCGCGGTGTATATGCTAGGAGGCAGACATATAAAATGAAGTCAGTACTGGTACTTATTTATATGCAACTATAGAACTGGTTGTTTTAGCGGCAACAGAAGTAGATGATCCGTGAAAATATTAACTGTCTAGCTATCACGGTTCATGAGATACAACTAGGGTTGCCAACCCTACTATATAATATAGTATCCTATTAAATAATATATTTTTAAAAAAACATATAGCAGGCGAAACTACTATATTTTGCTTAAAGCAGACATTTGCCGGTAAAAGGTTTCTTAAAAATAATAATTAATTCATTAAGGCATCGAGCATCAAAAATATATTCATTTTAAAACTAAAGTAAACATATTTGTTTCTTAGGTTTTCATGCACATCACTCATAATAAAGTTCGTGCATTAACCCGTTAAAACTAGTTTTATTTAAAGTAAACATTTTAACCTCATACTATATTTTATTTCATTCTTTTTGCCGTCTACTATATTTTTAGAGATATCAGCTTCGAAAATACTATATTTTGACAGACAGACAGATGGACAGTGTAGTCTTGGTAATAGTCACCCGTTTTTACCCTTTGGATACGAATCCCTAAAAATTACATGACGTAAATAAATTTATATAAAATGAAAACTGCCAGAACGAACTTCAATTACTACAAAGCTGTTTTTAAACTCAAAATGGCAATTTTAATAACACGTTGATCTGTTTACAATTATAGCTTAAGAATATACACACATACATGTGTATAATCTACTCAAACATGTCACGAACGTACTGGCGGACATCATATCCAATATATATTCATAGATTCAAGATGGGTCGGGTTATGGTAGGGTTGCCAACCGTCCTGTTTTCCCAGGACATGTCCTAGTTTTTGTAGTGTCCTGGGGCGTCCTGAATAGATTTTAAGCAGCGTCCTGGGTTTTTAAATTTATAAACTTCGTGCGCCATTTCTCAAATTTTTACGCTACATGTGATTATTTTAATTACTTGAATTTCATTTCGCCTGTTTTCACTAGATATTTATTTAACTATCGCAACTCTATTAATGCGTCCTGTTTAAAAAACGGAATTGTCCTGGTTTTTCCAACTTCAAATCCTGGTTTTTTAAATTTGAGGTTGGCAACCCTAGGTTATGGCATCGCGCACCTAATATGAAGCTTCTGAGAAACATAAAACATTTTTTCCATCTCGTTAAGGACTCGGCTCTAGTTACATAATTATAATCTTTATCTTGTAGTCACAGATGGATTCAGGTATCCAGTATGTGTAATGTGTATGTCTTTAGCTCATACTAAATGATAGGACTTGAGTGCGACGCACTAACTAGGTGTTTGTATATCTAAACTAAATTCTTTATAGCTGCTAAAACATATAAGTTGAATTTGGTCTATCACAGAAACATACCGATTATTAATTCATATTCAGTGTCTACCTTGTAACGCAGAACCTTTAATGTCACAATTTTATTAAGCATATCAGTGGATGGCATAAACTTCATTTCGCAGAAAATCATTTGGCATTCGCTCATTTAGCAGCCATTCAAATTAATTATTTTTTTTTAAGCCAGAATCAACTTTAGGCATACATTTAATATCCACTGTACTATCCACCACATTATAATAATTAAAAAGCAGAACAGCTTATCAAATCGCAACAGCTCACAGTCAGAATTGTCTTTTGGTATACAAAAAATCAACTTTTCCTTGTTAATTAATCTATTATCTATGGTGACTGGCTCTAATCTTTGATATTGACAAACACCGCAAGCAAAAAATGCATATTTAATTACACAAACGAGTAAAAATTAAACATAACAATAAAGTAAAGGTCAAACAAAGTTAAAAGACAAAAGTAGATAAATTTATTACTGCGAACAAGATGTTTTTTTAATGCCATTTATATCAAGATTTACATAATATAATAACTTGGCTCCGCCCAGAACGCCAGTCATAAAACATTTAAGATGCTTGATTTATTAAGATTGTACTTCTAAAGAAAACGTTTACTAGAAAAAAAAATAACTCAGTCCAGATTTCAGCTATAACCTATGATTCTTATTATGTTGTTTGTTATAGAACAAAGAACATGCATCTATTGATTATCTATATTATCTAACCTATGATTCTTACTATGTTGTTTGTTACAGAACAAGCTCATGCATCTATTATATTTTTTCTTTTTAGGAATCGTCGTTTGTTTTTTATTTGTGTAATTGTTAACAACAGTATTGCAATAAAAAATCAGTACCCTTAGTACGAGTTTCACAATTACGAAAAACTATGATAGTTTTCGTGAGCTCGCACTCGTACTAAGGGTATTGATTATATTGTTTACGTTTCAATGCAAATAAAGAATGTTTAAATTCTATCATTAAATCATTTGCGTCTTCTTAAATTTTAAGTATATTTGGTTACTTTTCACCAAAATGGACATAGAAACATAATTTACAAATACGAAAACTATGATAGTTTTCGTGAGCTCAAACTCGTACTAAGAATACAGATTTAATGAAAGCTAATAAAAATAAATTAAACAAAATATTAAGATAAAGTTGTAATAAAAACATAAAAATAAATTTTTAGCCTCACAGACGACAAAGTTACCTGCTCTTTAAAGAAGAAAATTAATGGCGCTACTGTTGAAGTAAGTTATTTGTGAGTGATCTTCGGTGCCGTACAATATTCATGATTCCATTACAACACACGATATGATGGCACCGGAAATTTAATTTTCCTCTAACATGGAGAATTATAAAACGGTTCAGTTCAATGTTCAATAAAGAAACAGGATACCGGTCGGTCACCAGCGATACTGCGGTATCGGTGTTATTAACACCATAATCGTTAAATATTAATGTCCTATCCAAACATGTTTGTACATCTTCCACGATACTACACACGCATGCAAATGAGACACCAAAACGGCCGTGCATGCGATTAAATTAATAATTTTAACGCCCGTTAACTGCTATTTGTTTATTCGAGAAGCGATAACGACGATTAACTGCTAACGAGGTACAATATACGACGAACGGTGATTTGCATACGCGCCTTCGAATGCCTACAGCGA